CAGCATCTCGAGCAGTATTTAGATCGAACGGGGACGGAGTTTGCCTGATCGTGGAATTTCACAGGCCAACCGTTTACCCTCGATCAAAACACCGCTCGTGAGTGCTTCAGCGAACTTGGTTTCAGAGTTAGTGAATACTCTGATGTAGGAGATGGGTTGATTAGTGGAGCGGGCGATTATTCGAACTACTTTGGTATAGGGAAAGTTGTTTTCGGATAGATTATCCTCGATAAGTTTTTGGGAGAAGGTTTTTGCCACGCCGGCTATGACGAGGTGGAAGATAGATGAATTATTAGGATTAGGCGATGATTTTGGGGACTTAGGTAAACGGGCTAAAATGCGGATTTGGTCGTTTTAGATGATTTTTCGGAGGTTTGCCGTGATGTGGCCGATATCAAGGAGTTTTGTTGTTCGAATCGAGGCCGCCTTTTGGGCTGGAAAGACTTTTAGTAAGTCCAATTTAGGGATAAGGTTGTGTTGTAGGAGGAGGCGATAGAATGGTCACTGCTGGCAGATATCAGCAGGGATGTACTCTATCCTGTAGTTTTTGAATTGTGGTGGTTGTTGAGGGGGTGGGAGGGGATAGTTTGAGGGTTAGGTGAGGTGGTTTGCGAGTGTATGGGGTGTGGTGTGGAACAACTTTATATCTTAAATAGGAACCCCCATTTTTTATTGCAGATTTGGATTTTTTATGCAAAAATAAGTAACTTTTATTGGGACATTTTTTCGACTTGTTGATAGATAGCGCTATAATCGAAAAAATATTATTCTGTTACCCTAGGAAAATTATGAAAACGATCTAACGATCCTAAAAATACACTGTTAAAAAATGACTACTTAGCATAGCTATAAGGCAACGCGAATCGGGTGTTTATATAAATATTTCTACTATATAAAATGTGTATTTTCTAATACAGATGGTGCAGTAGGTCGCTTCAGTAAGATTGTCGGAACACGTGTTTTCTGATCTAGTTGTTTATTATGAAGATACACGTTGAAAAGAGACGTTTGTGAACAGTGAATTTTAAAATGGACATTCAATTCGAGTAAGCAATATTATTTGAAGTAAGATATAATTTTTTCGTTAATTCCCTAATAAATATCAAACAAACAGATGAAACTTTAATAATAGTGTTGTAAAATAAATAAAATTATTATTTGATGACCAATCATACTAACCGTGATCTCAGTGTTGCCATATGACAACCCTAGGTCAATACGCTACTATTTAATTATTTCTATATTTATTTTTTTCAGGCATGGTTTGACTTTAGAGGAAGCTCTCAAAATAGCATATGAAGATGATTTAGATGTGGATCTGACATTCATTGAACCTTTTGAGTCTATAATTCTAACATAGGAAGAGTCGAAAGGCCAAGATGATTTCGATATAAATCAATTACCAGGACGGCAACTCTCTGCAAATGTAGAAGTTGTATTACAACAACCAAAGAATAGGTGATGCTGTTAAAATCTATGGAAGGGTCAACAAAGAGTATAAGTTATGTACTAGGCAGCGCATTTAGTAAGATAACAACTTTTCTTGAATATCTGGAGATTTAGAGGCTCTACCAAAACAAATAAAATGATGATTCCTAATAATAAATATAAACTGTACAAAAATATAAGTTTAACTGAACTATTTAATTGTTTTTTAATAAGAATATGACGAATTTATTGGTAGAGGAACCAATGAGATATGCTTCTTCTGAAAATGCACCTGATTTTGCTGAGACCAAGGATGAAATAGAATGTTCCACGGCGATCCACATATGCAATGATCAAAAATTAAACAATAATTACTAAAACAAAGCTTTAAGTAGAAATGACTAACATAAAAAACAAAAGTGGATAACCCAGGAGATCTGACACAGCTTGGTTTTCGTAGGTTATCGTAAAATATATACACAAAAATAATGTAAAATACAAGACATTTCACAAAGTCTTTAGAAACAAAATATTGGAAGCGAATTAAGATGACAGCTTTAAACGTTCATAGAAAAATTAAGGAATTTGTCGGTCTTGGATTCAAACAAAAACAAACATGTTTGAAAATGAAAACGGTACAATAATCATGAACTTATAAAAAAATATTAATTGGGAAAATTGCATATCTCCACTCTTCCTCTTGGAATTGCGTCTTAACACTTTGGAAAGATGCCTCTTCACATCTGATAAGTTTAAACAAGCCATAAAAATAATAAAAAGTTGCAAAGTAGTAGGTCTACGTGAGTTCTACATTGAGCTCTTAAGAATAATGGATGACAAATATATATCTGTTTTAGTGAACCTGTTCCATGCTATATATAAAAACTAGAACAAATCCAAAGAATGAAGCATCTCTTCCTTTATTTCTATTCCTAAGAAGTCCCGTCCTACCAACTGTGATGATTACCAGCTTATAAGCCTAATAATTCATGTATTAAAAGTCTTCTTACGAATCATACATACATCACATGCACACTTCAGATTTCCCATTAGTTGGGGCTCCAGAAAAGCTGTTTGTTTTAATGTACTGGCACAGAGATGTACTTGTGTCAATCAATATATATGTCTGCTTCATTGACTATACTAAGGACTTTGACAATGTTAAGCACGAGAAGCTAGTGGAAATCTTGCAAAAATATAAAATTCATTGACTATCAAGATGTTGAAATAATATTAATATTATACTGGGGTCAAACGGCAAGAATAAAACTCAACGGCTTCTTGTCAGAAAAAATAAATATTTAAAAGAGTGTACGACAAGGATGTATGTTTTTGCTTTTGCTATTTAATTTATTTATACTCTAAATATATTTTGAGTGAAGCATAAGAATATGAGTCGGCTGGAATAGTGATTTAATTGAGTTATTGTCAACATCAGATACGCTGATAATACAGGTAACAATTTGGGAGACCTCCAGCGAGACTTTCTTTAAGTATATATGTTTAGTGTGACACACGGTTTACGTATCAATATCAAAAAACCACAAACTATGGTCGTTTTAAAAAACATTGATTGTGCGTATCGTATATTACTGAACTATTAGATCCAGATCAAGAGATAAAATGTAGAATCGAGATAGCCCGCACGACATTTTTAAAAATGAGGTCATTCTTCTGAATTGATAACTTGCAACTTCAACTTCGAAAGCGCATGGTTAAATGCTACATTTGGTCAAACCTCTTGTACGGTGTAGAAGTATATCAATAAAAATATCCACCATTAATCGTGTGGAGGCCTTTAAAATGTGGCTGCACAGACGTATACTAAAAATTCCAAGGACGGCTATGCTGAAAAATGTGGCAGTCTTTGAGAGAGCAAATGCTGCCGCGAGCTGCTTGATAACATCAAATGTAAAAAGATGGCCTATTTTGGACACGTAGTAAGGGGAGACCGATATATTATTCTTCAACTTATTATGATGGGTAAAATCGAAGGACGCAGAGGAATTGGTAGAAAGCAGGCCTCTTTGTTGAAGAATATCAGGGAGTGGACAGGAATAAGGAAAGCTGAGCAACTCTTTAGAATAGCTCGAGACAGAGACAGTTTCGCCATGTTAATCGCCAACGTCAAGGGGACTTGATAGGACACGTTAAGAAGAAGAAGAAGCGTATCGTACCGTATTTTTCTACGACTCTGATAAGCAGAATGGTTTGGTGTTATGTATTTTTCATACAACTATACGGTGTGGAAAGCTGGATATACTTCCTTTTAAAACGTGGATCTACCGGTGTATTCTCAGAGTTTCCTGGATGGGTAAAATCACAAATCAGACAGTGCTGAAGAGACTGAATATTGCACCTGAAATTATATTTACTATAACGAAGAAAAAATTTCTTGGCCACGTCTTTTGAGACATAAGATGTGTTTACAGCTTCTAATGTAAAGAAAGATCGTTGGACGAAAAAACGTAATTGTAGAAGCATTTCTTGTATGCGAATTCTTTGTAAATGGTACAAAATGACTTGAGTCGAATTATTCCGTGCAGCATTTTCGAAAAAGGAAATTTCCATGTTGATCAGCAACCTCCACAGCAGACGTCCATTAACATCCTTATTAACAGCAATATAACATATAAGTTAATAGAACTATTTATAATCTCTTTATAGATTTTCGACAAAAGAGATCAGATATGAACTTTCAATTTCCACAAAAACTTATCCAGCTCAATAAAATATGTATAAATGAATGTAGATTCTGCTTCCATCTGATCATGTGCTTTCATCTTCAAATCTTCAAGTTGATTTATAAATATTCTTAGCAAGGTTCTCAAACTTCTTTCTTGCGGCATGTCCAATTTAAATGTTATGTTTACATGGGATTAAGCCACAATTGAAGAGTTTGCTATAAGAAGAATGCAGCTCCATATTTAGACCATTTTGGGTGGAAACACCATAATTAAAAAAAAAATGGCGGATTGACTGGTATAAGAACGATGCAGATCCGATAATAAATAAAGAAATTATATGTCTGTATGGATCTGCCTCCTCACTCAAAAATATAAAAAGTGGCAACCCCACTGTCTGGCAAAGAAATACGAAAAAAAAAAGCTTTTGCAGGATGAAAAATATGTACGAACTAGAAAGGAATACAGAAGGGACCGAGATTAACTGGATCGAACTGCAACTACAGGTACAAGTGTTTTCAGAATATAGACAACAAACAAGAAAAGTTGTCTTACAAATGTTTAACAAAATAGGCGACAAATATTTGCAAAATACCTATTTGGGAGGGTTGATTTAAACTACTACTTACTATTCAAAGAACTCGAAAAAATGACTGATAAAAGGCAAGACCCGCACTTGTTCCCACAAATACATTATAAAGCTGGGTAAGCTATGCAAACGAGTTTGTAGACATGCTTTTGGTTCAATCCACGGCATATCAAGAAAAAGTGTAGATCTCATTGTTCAAACTTGTCGTGACAGAGATATTACAGCGCCACCTAGTAACAAAAGAAAGCATACAAATATAACTCTACTGAAAATCTAACGAAACACTTAACAATGTGAACATGCACATCCAGAGCTTTCCAAGGTATGAATCGCATTATAATAGAAACAAATCCCGTCGATTCTATTTATCTCCAGATCTAAATGGAAAGAAGATGCATCAACTTATTTCGAACTTTATGAATCAAAAAGTGTTACTAATCCTAAATATAAACCCAAAGTTCTCTATGACTTCTTCTCTTGATACTTCAAAGAAAACTTCATTTACAGGTCTAACTCACCTCGATTAGATACGTGCAGTGATCCTCAAAGAAAATAAACGAAAAGTTTTAGCAGTGAAAAAGAAGTTGCATGAAATTAAGGGCCGATTTGTTTTTTAAGGAGCTGACGAAGAAAACCACATTGTGTAAGCATAGCGACGAAGTGGAGGTGCTTACCTTTGACTTTTAACAAAACCTTCTACTTCCACAAATTCCTACTTGGGAAGCACACTTTTATATGTATGATGAAACTACGGCTCAAAAGTCACCAAACGAGGTAGTGTTTATTTTTGTACCACTATATATACTCCCTAAACATGTTAAAGTTGTATACCTTTTCTCCGATAACGCTGCTGTGCAAAACAAAAGCTCAATATTGATTTGGTCTCTGTATTTGCTGGTGAGAAACTGGCCTATTGACAAGATAGAGCACCGATTTTCTGAGCCAGGATGTAGCTTTTTCCTGTGATCGCTGCTTTAGAGTTATTAAGAAGTTTTTAAGGAAGAATGACTACGTTTTTAGCCCCAATAACGTACTGATTTTGTTCAACAATCATCCAAATAGTTTATTTCCATTCTGGTAAAACAAAATATGATCGTGAACTTTAGTGGTCACTATGAAGGACATTTTAAAAAAGTTATCTCAGATGCAGAAAAGCAATGATACCAGATTTCCAAACACCGAATTTTCCAGTACAGCAATGAACATTTAGATGGTTTTAAAGTATATCTACTGGCCTTCTGAGTTTTCACTTATTCCAAATCGTGAGAAACTTTGACAGCGACCTCTCAGTTTCTTCTTCTATACCTGTCAAAAAACCCAAATTTTGCAGATGTAATGCAGTTGGCAACACGATTCGTTCCTATGGACCAAATGGCTTTTTACTGCACAAGTGGTGCAGCCATGACAGAGAACCAGAAAACTAAATCATCTTGACGACTAGGTAGATGAATGAGGGATGTGTTTGCCCGTGTGTTTTATTTTTTATTGCTATTTTTTTTGACACCAACCTGTTTCTTTTTACAGATTATTTCGTATTTGTGTAGTAGGCAAACCATAGTCGTTTGATTGATGTAATCGAATAAAAAAAAAAAGCGTTTTTATTGGAAATTTGTTTTTTTTTTTTCTTAAAAATAATGGTAAAGAAGCATTATTTTACGTGTTTGGTGCAAGAAAGATGCAGGTCCAACTTTTATTCAATTTTTTTCTTATTTTTTTCAAAAATTATCTACTTGAAAATAGTCTCAAGTATTGACTAAATCTGTTTTGTCATCGATTGATATTATGTCTTTCGGGTTAAAATTAAAACTTTTTCCGCAAATCGCCAGGAAATTTTGACATTCCTGTCAAAATTTCTCGAAGAAAAAGTCAGGACTTCCTTACTGTAAGGAAATGTCATTTCCTTACTGTAAGGAAATGATATTTCCGTACAGTTGTTAGTGTTCTACATAAATGATAGAAAAGTTTGACAATTCAACCTCAATACGTTTCCATAATAACCCAAGTAATTTTATTAGGAATTTTAAAGCACCATTTATTTGGGAATAAAATTATCGCGTTTTTTTTTAATTAATCAATATCTGTCAAATTTTAAACGATTTGCGGAAAAATAGTATGTTTACCTCGTAGGAAAAGCCACATTTCTGGACTCTGTGTTGCTAAGTCTCGGCTTTGCGCCTCGACTTAGCAATCTTCACAGTCGTCCAGGAATGTTAAGCTTTTCCTACCCGGTAAACAATGTACTAATATTAAAAAACAGTTTTTTTCAATTTCTCAATAATAAAATTACCAAATATTGAGCTGCATCCTTCTTACAGCAAACTCCTCAATTATTGGTTGTAATGAAAATCACATTTTTAATTAGCAAATGTTTGACGTTTTGATTTTCACTTCGGAAAGTTTTGTTTTTTCCTTAAAAACAGATTATTATACAAATTCTGAAAAATATATAAATCTATTCTTCAGTATTTGTATATTTTTTTAACCGCTCAGGCGATGATCTATTAAAATTTTTCCATTGGTGTGACGTCACAGCGTCTGCCACAGATAATTTTTAAATACTCTGTATAAATATAAATAAAAAACTCTGTATTTTTTTTAAATATTATAAAAACTGTATCAAAAAATTGTGCTTCACTTTAAAAAAGCCTACCATGATGTTACCTATCTATTTTTTTACAAATATTCGTGGTCATTTATTAAGAATATATTAAACTTAAGTTTATGTTAACCTTGTTAATATCTACATTTTTTTTTATTTTAGAACTTAAATGACACTCACCTATCTGTAAATTTAGAAGATTTAGAAGTAGTTAATGGAGTAGAAATCAACACCCAAGTAAGAAGCAATAACCATTCTAACACCAATGGCAGTATCATAACTATGACGCTAAAAAATAATCACCTTATTGTTGAAACTGAAGAACGAAATGTAAGTAAAACGACCACCAAAAAAATATATATATAGATAGATCCAATTTGTTTAGGACCTGCAAGAGGATAGTAGAGAAACTACTATGCGATATTCTCCAAGTGCCAGAGACGGCGTCTTTGTTGTAGAAGTACAACAAGGTGTAAGAAGAAGCCCTGGATCTGGAGGACAAAGCACTTGTGTTGAGCCCGAGGTGTCTCTATCAGTAGGTGACCAGTGTGCATTGGTACATAATCCTCCAGATAAGTAAGATATTCAAAAATATTATGGAAAGTATAAAAAAATTACTTAACCTATTTATATACCGGGTGGTCCAATAAGCCGATCTCTCGGCTATATATCAGAAAACTATTCATGTTATAACTTTAGGAGAAAAAATTCCCTAGTAAAAGTGGCTAAGAGAAATCGCTGGAAATAACTTTCAAGATTCTGGATTAACCGCTAGGGGGCGTAACCTGCGAAGAAAATTTTGAAAACCAGTTTTTTGGGAAATATGTCCAATTATACCAAGTGTTAAATAAGTAAACTAGAAAGAGGCGTAAATTCTGCACAGAAGTTGTTCAAGTCCTTTTTTTTTATTTTTTAAATAAAGGGTGGGGGAGAGTGGGAAAGTATTTGTGGATAAATACCTATAACTTTGGTTTGGATCAACCGATTTTAACAAAATTAGTGTCATTAGAAAGAGTATAGATGAGTTAATTTACATCTACTATAAAATAATTGCATTTAGTTTTAATTGTCGTAGGTAGAGGGTACTTTCGAATAGAAAAAATTAAAATTTGTTTTTCTTCAAAATTTTTAATGGAAACACCTATTTATTGTAAATTATAATGGAACTGGATTAAATTCGTAACAAAATGGCGCAAACCGCATGTTAATAGCTTTTATCGAACTCGAGATATGAATAAAAACACATAAACATAAGTAAGTATAGTATTGACACACCCTGTATTATAAAATAAATTAAAAAATAAGTCAGTAGGTACTTTCAAAATTTTTTATAGCAGAAAACTCTTAATGTTGATACCTATTTTGATCATTGTTATTTCATATGATTAAAAATTGTTTTTTCGAAACTAAGTAGGCTACGACAATGAATTTGATAGGGAGTTCATATTGTTTATTTATTGACAGCAGTCAAAATATTGTTAAGAAGTGTTATATGTATTATAATTCGAATCGAAAATTGCATTTTTTTCAATAGATATTAATATTGGTAATATTAGTAATTAATTATCAGTACTAATAATTCGTGATGAGTATATCAAATTGTATGATATGATTGGAGTTTATTTCGAATATCACCAAAATGGCGCTATTGCGTCACGTATATATTCTGTAAGATATCCTGGCAGGAGATATTGTGGCAAAGAAGTAGAGATTTCGGACTACTTATATGTGGATTCTGTTGAATTAAAGCAAGAACATTGATTGAATTATCTTCGGTCATAACTCTACTACGTCGTTTAAAACAAGGACGAGAAAAACTACCAGTTTCTCTTAATCTTTTTGCCTTTCTTTCAAATACTTCTTTGCCATAATGTCTCCTGTCACGATATCTTACAAAATATATACGTGAGGCAAATAGCGGCATTTTGGTGACATTCGAAATAAACTCCAATCATATCATACAATTTGATATACTCATCACGAATTATTTGTACTGATAATTAATTACTAATATTACCAATATTAATATCTATTGAAAAAAGTGCAATCTTTAATTCGAATTATAATATAGCACTTCTTAACAATGTTTTGACTGCTGTCAATAAATAAACAATATGAACTCCCGTCAAATTCATTGTCGTAGCCTACTTAGTTTCGAAAAAACTATTTTTTACAAAATAGGTATCAACGTTAAGATTCTTCTGCTATAAAAAAATTTAAAATACCTACTGACTTATTTTTTAATGTAATTTATAATACAGGGTGTGTCAATACTATACTTACTTATGTTTATGAGTTTTTATTCATATCTCGAGTTCAACAAAAGCTATTAACATGCGGTTTGCTCCATTTTGTTACGAATTTATTCCAGTTCCATTATAATTTACAATAAATAGGTGTTTCCATTAAAAATTTTGAAGAAAAACAAATTTTAATTTTTTTTTATTTGAAAGTCCCCTCTACCTACGACTATGAAAACTAAATGCAAGTATTTTATAGTAGATGTGAATTAATTTATCCACACTCTTTCTAATGACACTAATTTCATTAAAATCGGTTGGACCAAACCAAAGTTATAGGTATTTATCCACAAATACTTTCCCACTCTCCCCCACCCTTTATTTGAAAAAATAAAAAAAAGTACTTGAACAACTTTGTGCAGAATTTATGCCCCTTTCTAGTTTACTTATTTAACACTTGGTATAATTGGACATATTTCCCAAAAAACTGGTTTTCAAAATTTTCTTCGCAGGTTACGCCCCCTAGCGGTTAATCCAGAATCTTGAAAGTTATTTCCAGCGATTTCTCTTGGCCACTTTTACTAAGGAATTTTTTTTCCTAAAGTTATAACATGAATAGTTTCTGATATATAGCCGAGAGATCGACTTATTGGACCACCCGGTACATCCTACTCAATCAAAAACTCTCGGACATTGTATACAAATTGAGTTTTAAGTAGGGAATGCCTTAATTCACGAAAACGACTTATCTAATTTGAAATGGTTTTGGTGTGTAAGGGTCTTCTGATGCTTTCAGTAATATGATAGTATTTACATTGTTGTCAGACCTTCTGTTTTTCTGAAAATTTAATGAATTTTCTTATTTCAAATGGATCTCCCTGTATATATTTTTTGTCTTTTGGTCCTTACAAAATACTGATTATATTTCATGTAATGTTTTCTATACCTAAATGATCTAGTTTTGTAGCTGTTACTACATTTACATTATCATGGATGGATATGGCTGTTAGAATAACAACTAACTTTGGGTTTCAATAAATAAGTATTTTTAATATTAAGGCGCAATGGATTCCTTGTATGCAAAAGAATAAAGTGAGGTTTTAATGATACATATTATAATATGGTGATATGTCAACAAGAAACGTGTAATATCGTTAATTATTTATATCCTAACCAAAACCCTTTAACAAGCTCTACTGTCAGTTCTTTCTTCTTTCAGTGCCTATTCGTTCCGAATATTGGCAATCATTCTGGCTATAATTATTTTATTAACTGATGCTTTAAATAGATTCGTTGTTGTGTGGAGAACCATTTCCTCAGGTTCTTCAACCATGATATTCTCCTTCTCCCAATTCCTCGCTTTCCGAATACTTTACCCTGTAGGATTACCTTCAGTAATCTGTATTTAGTACTGTTTCTCATTATATGTCCGAGATATTTCAACTTTCTCCTTTTAATGGTATACATCACCTCTCTTTCTTTGCCCACTCTTCGTAATACGGTCTCGTTGGTTATCTTGTCTGTCCATGATATCCTTAGAATTCGCCTGTATAGCCACATCTCGAAGGCTTCAAGTTTTTTCTCCATTGCTTCAGTTAGTGTCCAGGATTTAACTCCGTAATACAATATTGAGAAGATATAACATCGTAGGAGCCTTACTTTTATCTCCAGATTAAGATTGTGGCTTTTAAAGAGTTTGGCCATGTTATTGAATGCACTCCTAGCCTTCTCTATTCTACATTTTATTTCCTGTGAGTGATCCCATTGTTCATTTACTGTTGTTCCAAGATAGTTATACTGTTTTACTCGGTCCACTGGTGTATTATTGATAAGTAGTTGAGCGTCTCTAACTTTATTTTTGCTGATGATCATAAATTTAGTTTTTGTTATATTTTACTTGAAGTCCCAAATCTTTCACTTACTTCATTTACTTTGTTTATTAGTTGCTGTAAACTGTTCAAACTGTCTGCAAAAATTATGCAAACGGTGTCTTCTGCATAACGGATGTTATTTAGGCGTTCTCCATTTAGAAGTATTCCATGTTCGCCATTTTTCCAAGGCTTCACTAAATATTTCCTTTGAATATAGATTAAATAATATAGGTGAAAGTATACAACCTTGTCTAACCCCTCGTAGAATCTGGATCATTTCCGTTGGTTTACCTCCAAAATTCGTTCTTATTGTGGCTGATTGGTTCCAGTATAAATTTTGTATTATACGCCGATCTTTATCATCCATTTGGGCTTTTGTTAGAATATCCATCATTTTTTGGACTGTCAGTTAATTAGTAAAAAAGTTAACTGAACCTGGTTCAGTAAAAAATTACACAAAAGTGCATCAACTGTAAACAAATTTTTAGATGTTTGTGTCCTGTTAGAAGATGATCCCCACTTAAGTACTTGATAAATATCCAGGGAACTTTTAGATTTTGCTCTGTAATGAAAATTTTATGTAAAAATAAATTCCAGACATACAAAATCAGATTCATTATCATCATCATCATCAACCTGTTGTGTCCACTGCTGGACATAGGTCTCCCTCGGCTCTTTTTATCTGTCTCTCTCTCTCTCTTGTGCGGCTTGTATCCAGTTATTGGTAACACATTTCAGGTCGTGAGTTCATCTAGTTGATAGGCGTCCTCTGTTCCATATTGCTTCTTTTCTTGGTCTTCACTCTAAAATACGTTTTGTCCATCGGTTATCTGATAACCTGGCGACATGTACTACCCAATTCTATTTCAATGACGCAATTTTTTTAATAGCGACTGTTCTACGACGTACTTCTTGGTTAGGGATTTGGTCTCTCAGAGAGACACCTAACATCTGGCGCTCCATAGCCATTGGAGTACGCGACTCTTATTACCTAAGTACCTTTTTTGTGAGTGTTAATGTTTTCTGCTTCATTAGCGAGTACAGGTAACATACATTGGTCAAAGATTTTCCTTTTGAAGCATATGGTAGATTCAATTTAAATACATAGTTTAATTTACCACACGCTGCCCAGGCTAATCCTATGCGACATTGGAGCTCGCATGTCTGGTTATCTCTGCCCAACCGAATTTCCGAATGGAATACTATGATAACGATTGACAAAAAACTAAAACAATAAGAAGAGTATATGGAAGAGCTCTTCGACGACGAAAGAGGAAATCTACAAGACTTGTCATTTAAGGACAGAGAAAAAAGTATAGAAATTACAAAGGAAGAAATACTGTATGCACTAAAGAACACCAGAAACCGAAAAAGCCCAGGGCCAGATCAACTGCCTATTGATATCCTTAAAATAATAAAAAATGAGTACATTGATGTCCTCTTAAAGCTTTTTAATAAAATTTAT